CTGAGCAGGTCTCTTGCCCCTGCTCCGCCCGCCGGGGGGGTCAAAGACCAGGCTCTTGCGGTGCCTCAGTTTGCCGACCCGCAGGAGGGGGCGGGGGAAACCTGACCCGCTCGGCGGCGCGGGCGGGAGCGGAGCCCGTGCAGACGCCTCAGGCTGGAGCCGAGAGCGGGGCTGAGCCGGGACCCGGCGGGGCAGGGCAGGGCAGGGGCCATGCCCGGCTGCCCGGGGGCTCCTCGCCTCTGCCTGGGCTGCTGCGCGCTGCTGGCGCTCGGCCTGGTGCTGCTCGGCTTTGCCGCGGGTGAGTGCGGGCGCGGGCCGGGCCGGGCGGGGGCAGGGAGAGGAGGGTCTGGAGTCCCGTGTCCAGGTTTGGGCCCCCCCGTGCTGGAGAGGATGTGGGCAGTTTGGAGAGAGTCCCGCGGAGCGCAAGGGAAAGGGTAGCGGGGCTGGAGAGAAGAGGCCGAGGGACCTGAGCTCACAGGACTGATGACACAGCCTCTTTTACCCTTAGGGCTATATTTTATTTTAATTTTTTTTTTTTTTTTGCTTTGTTTGATGTGGGTTTCAACAGAAAACAAAACCACAGAAACGTATGTATAATGTAGCAAAGGACTGCCCGCTCCCCTCCTCCTGTCGGGTTGTGCTTTGATCTTCAAGGGGATGGCATAGGGCTATAGCCCCTCGCTTGGGTACTACAAAGTTTCTAGTTTCTCTTTGGCTGCCGTAGATGTGAGGCTGTGCTGCACCCTCCGCACCCCCCTTTTCAACATCTGCCCGTGAACAGAAGCATATAAAAAGTATCACGCTACTTAGGATCGGAAGGGACCTAAACAGATCATCTGGTCCAACCCTGCCCCGGGCAGGAATGGGATCATATCACCCCAGCCAAATATCTGTCCAGCCTCAATAAAACCAAACTGAAGGCACGGGAGCTGTCTTCAGGGGCTGTGCCCCTTTTCATACAATCATAGAAAATGAGGGTGGGAAGAGGTCATCTAGGTCGGTGGTCAGCCTTTTTTGTATCCGGACCCATTTGAAAACATGGAGCTGGGCCCAGTGCCCCTCACTCCTGACCTGCTGCCCTGCACCTGCAGGCCCCCAGTGTGTGGGGCAGGGGTGGGTGTGTGGGGCTTGGGGGCCGCCAAGCAGCACCTTGCAGGCTGGTACTCTGCCAGCCTGCATGGTAAAAGACTCAGTTTCCTTTGTTTTTCTACTTTAAAGGCAAATCCATTTTTAGAGTTTGTTCACAACCCTTTCATCTATTCTTGTGACCCACTTTTGGGTCACTATCCACGGGTTGAGAAACACTGATCTAGTCGAACCCCCTGCTCAAAGCAGGACCCTCCCCAACTAGACCATCCCAGACAAAGCTTTGTTGAGCCAGGCCTTAAAAGCCTCCAAGGATGGAGATGCCATCATCTCTCTTGGTAACCTGCTGCAGTGCTTCACCACCCTCCTCGTGAGAAATTTTTTCCTAATCTAAACTTTCCTATCTGCAGCTTGAGACCATTGCTGCTTGCTCTGTCATCTGTCACTACTGAGAGCAGGCTAAACTTCTCTTCTCCAGGCTAAATCAGCCCCGTTCCCTCAGCCTCTCCTCAGCAGTCATGTGCCCCAGCCTCCGAACCATTTTCACTGCCCTCCACTGGACTCTCTCCAATTTGTCAACATCCTTTCTATACTGGGAGGCCCATAAATGGACACTGTTCTCCAGCTGTGGCCTCACTAGTTCTAATTACGGGAATATTTACTTCTCCTATCTGCTGGCAATGCTCTTACCAATGCAGCCCAGTATGACGTTAGCCTTCCTGGCAACAAAGGCACACTGCTAGCTCATATTCAGCTTATCGTCCTCTGTAACTCCCAAGCCAGGTCCTTTTTTGCAGAGCTGCTGCTCAGCCAGTCAGCCCCCAGCCTGTACTGGTGCACAGGAATGTTCTGTCCAAAGTGCAGGACATTGGGCTTCTCCTTACTGAACCTTGCAAGATTTATAAAACAAAATCCCACATTCTTGAATGACTTGACAATGCATCCAATACCTTGCTATTAGTCCTTTATACCTGAGTTAATATTATCACACAAGACTTAAGAGCTAAAAACAGTCTGCAGGGCTGGGAAATACAAGAAAAACATTAGAAAATTGTGGAAAGAAAGCATAGTTTGAATAGTACACATACAAAAAACTCGAACTCTTGTTTCCAAAATGATACCTTTTATTAGACCAACTGGGAAATTGCAAGAAAATTGTCCTTTTTTTCAAGCTTTCAGGTTCAAAGGCCTTTTGTCAGGCTCTAGGAAAAGTAGAGATGGTAAAATATCCCCACAAATAGGAAATAAACTTCATTTTTGCACAGAGGGAGCTGGAGATGGAAGTCTGTCCCCCTGGGTCCATGAATGTCTTTGTGAGCTGTGCTGAGTAGCTCTTTGATGTGTTGATCAGGTAGGATTCCTTCCCCGGAGGTGTCAGATGGCAGGCAGGGAAGGAAAAAAACTTCCTTGTTGTTCTGCAATGAAGTTTAAAATCCAAAATCGGCTAAAATTTGGCATCTTTCATGTTTCACGGATGTACTTGGTAGTGTGAATAGTAGAACATTTAGTTCATTAAAAAAGGATAGAGGGTCATTAACATCTGTGGGGTAGAGAGAGAGATTAACAGGAATCAAGGAGAGGACAAAGAGCCATGAAGTCGATTCACTTAGCACTCGGCCAGGGTAGAAATGTGGCTGACCCTGCCAAGTGGTTGGTTTTAAATTTTAGGTAAAGCAGGAATCAAAGGAGAATACAACTGTACCACTGCACCTTCTCCCCCACTGCAATCTGCCCATGTTTCTGTTACCATACACATCTGATGCCAGTGTAAATGGTAGATCAGGGAATTCATAAAGAAGAAGGGCTGGAAGGGACCTCCAGAGGTCATCTAGTCCAATCCCCTGCCTGAGGCAGGATCTTTCCTATCCAAACCATCCTATACAAATCCATAATCTGAACACTTTGGAGAACTGCTTGTAACCCTGATGCAGCACAAGACATAACACCCTAATCTGCCACAGGTAAAGCAAGGGGACCATAACAGCCAATGCCCTGCTTCAGTAAAAGGTTGTTAATATACAGTCAAGAGATAGAGGGCCATGCTCCCCAGTTACAGAAGGCTAAAACCCCACAGTCCATACCAGTCTGACCATGGGGTAAAATTCCTTCCTGACCCCATATACGGTGGTAGGTCTGATCCTGGGCAGAGGGGCAAGGTTGTCTGTCTAGGAACCTCTGGCTTTAAGTCCCAGCAGGAACATTGGCATACCCCAGTCCAAGTGGGAAAGGAAACTTCTGCTTCTCTCTCTGTTCATTTACTCAGTGCTTTAGCTAAGGCAGTGTGTACAGTCATATTTGCTGTGGTAATGACCCCTTGTGAGGAGGGATGCTAGGGAAGGATTTCATTTTTAAGGCAAACCACATGAATATGCAAGGAAAACCAGGGTCAAACTTAGCAGCTGTAGCTTCCCTTTAGTTCTTTCTTCTTTTCCTCCTCTGAATATCTTCTTCTACCTAGAAGTCCAATGAACTATCCATTGTGCTACAAAGCCAACATTTTTCTTCTTTAATTGATTAAATTCCAAGGGACTTTGCTCTTCAGTTTTTAAATTCATTTTCCCCAAAACACCAAATATTATGAGGCTGGCCTGGAAGTCCTGGAGCCTTAGCTCCTCATCCTGAACAGCCTTCTGCTTGCTTTTGACTTCAAACACCAGGGTTGAGTCACTGACAAAGGGGATCAGGTCATTTCATTTGTTCAGTACATTCTCATGGTGAGTATGATGGACCTTATTGTCCTTTCACTGGCAACTAGTCAATTAGTAAATCTCCTTTGGAGTTATATTTCTAAACTTAGTGGGAGAGAAATACCTATCTAAATAAAACTATTTTTATGAAGGATTTACTGTCTTTTGTCACTATATGATCAGTAAATGATACAGGTTTTGCTTTCTAGTTCCTGTTACAAATTTAGACCCAGTCCAGCCAATATTTTTGCATGTGCTGCAGGCAACAAAATGTTCCATTGGCTTTAATAATACTGGTCACTTGTGCTCAAGTGGTTGACGATCAGGGTTCTTGAGAAATACCAAGATTTTATGATATTTTTCAGGCTGGTTTATGAAGCCAACTGTAAAAACAGGCAGCTCATCATATGCTTATCAAGATATGAGGCAGAGACTTGTAGCTGAAATGAAAGCAGAAAACATCAAGGAGTTTCTTCGGTAAGCCCTCGTTTTCACATAATTATATCAGTCACGAAAGCCAAAAGGTAGACATAGTAGCTCCAAGAAAGAGCCTTTGAAGGCCCGGATGTTAAGATATGTTAGGATTACTTTGTCTGTGCAGAATATTTAGAACTATTCCAGAAATTCGCTTTCACTTTATTTTTTTTCAGTTGCCTTTCTAGAAACTATTGTACTCCAATGAGTACTTTCTTCAAACTAGTTGGAAGATGTGAGAAATAAAGGATGTGTAAATATAGATGAAATAATATTTCCTCAAGCACAATTCTTTCATGTTCTTGGTGTTTTGGATATTATTTCTTTTGGCAGTTTTGGGGAGCCCCTTCAGTCCACAGTCTAAATAAATGCAGGTATTAATAGTACTGCAAAAAGAGTGCTGTAGACTCAACTCATAAATAGACATGATTTTTTGAAAATAATATATTAGGAATAATACTTTTTATTGCAAAAACACCTACTGAGAGTATATATGTTCTTGTTCTCTCTTTATTCAAAACTTTTTTTCTATAACCCCATCTCCAGGTAGTATAGCTTTCCCCCCTATGCATCTTCCAAATCCTGACATCAAAGAACGTTGTTTTAATTTCAGAGATAGGTATGTAATTCTATTTGTTTTATGTGAACTGTTATTTAGTAAGTTTAATAACTAATCCCTAATTATTTATTAATCTCTCAGTGTCTCAGCATCAAGTGACCCGACTAATCTGTGTAAAGCTGAAAATAATTCACCCTGTAGGAACTTACTAACCATGTAAGCCAATATTACATGAGTCCAATGGCATTCATAAATAAATTCATATATTCATAAATAATGGGTTTTGTACTATAATATGTAGTAATTTTTGATGTGTGAGCCCTGTGGTGATGCTCACTGAGGACCCTGCCAGATCTACAGTATACTCTGAATATTGTATATCATCAGTAAAGACAGCTGTTTGAGCCCCAACACCTGTGTTGTTCCTTCAGTATATATGAGCAGCTCATCAGTACCTCTTGGCTAGGGACAGACATTCAACAAGCCTGAGTCTGAATTGATTCAATCTTTGCAGGTTAGTCTAATCTGGCTAGGCTAAATCACCTTGTAACTGCACAAACATGCCAGACATGCAGGCACATGCCTGCAGTGTCTCAGGATAGAAGCCAGGGGGCACCAGAGCAGCCATCCCTTCCCTGGACAGTGCTGAACTGAGGAGGGGTATGGCCAAGTCCCAGCAGGACGCTCTGATTAGGGAGGTCTGTCTGCACCATCCCAGGCTTTCCCCCATTCCCTGCTCAAGGAGTGGGAGTGTTGCTAGACCTCCGCCCCCTGCTAGCACTCGGAGACAAGGGAGGGGTGTGTGGACAGTGCATGCATCTGTTGATGATACAGAGCTTTTAAACCTCCCTCCCTGCTTCTTTATACTGTCTGCAGCAAACTGACAGGAGAGCAAGCCAGAAAGGGGCTGATAAGTGCTTATCACCTCATTAGCAAAACAATAGCCTCTCTCCATTACTTCAAACTCTTCTGAAACAGCTTACCAGCTGACCTGTTGATTAGCTCCAAACAGCCTTAAGTGGTCACTGTTCTGTCAGCCTGTTCCAGTGAAATTGGAGAGACTCACACACAGAGACAATTCTCCGCATTAGCTAGCATACCACATGCCTAGGGCCCATAGGGCTGGGGTCCATGCTGTGGGAGATGGGAGGGAGGGGGGATTCCTGCTTGTCTAGCAAGCAGCAAGGGGGCGGGTAGAGCAGGGGGAAGCCCAGCAGACCCTGCTGTGCCTACAAGTCTCTGCTGGAGCTCCAGCCAGGGAGCAGAGGAGAGGGGCCAGTCCTGCTGTGCAGCAGAGAGCCCCACCTAGCCCAGAGAGCATGCTGGGATTCTGGGTGTGTCTGATTTATCTTAAACCAGCAAGGGTCTGGGACCAACATTGCATAAACCGGTTTGAGCCAAATCAGTTAAGTCTGATACTACATTCAACCAGGTTTATCTCAAACTGGTTTCAGCCATTTTCAAACTGGTTTATGAGCACTGAACAGCTGTTCTGTTCTGAAACAGATTTAAATCAGTTTCTGATCACTTAAACCGGTTTCTGTGTAATGTTTGTCCCGAGGCCTTATGCCTTTCATTTTTTCTCCAAAAATGAATTAATGATATTTGTGCATGTTAGCCTTTAAAAAAAATGTAATCAAACATGTTCAAAACACCCAAGCTAAGATACCCATTGTTAATGATATCTGTTGATATTTGAACAGTCTCCTGCCCCTGCTGCAGCAGATTGTTCAAAGCAAAGATCGGATTTATTAGTCACCTATGTACTCACACAACCTAGCCTCTACCCCCCTTTCACGCTCTTCCCTTTCCCTTTTTTATCTTTTTCCTTCTCTCTCCTTTTCTCTTTTCTCCTTCCCTTTTTCTTTCCCACTTCTTTTCTCTCTTCTTCCTTTCCCTTCCTCCGCTGGATGTGGTCATCTTCACCGGTGAAGGACAAAAGTATGATATTTGACATGGTAAGTTTGTGAGTGTCTATAAGAGACCAAAGAACTCATGATTTCTGTACATTTATATATTTTAAATTGCAATTTTTCACTTCTATCATCAATTTCACTCGATGAAGTACATGGAACTTATGTTGGTTTTTGTGCTCACATTAAATTAGAACATTCCTAAGTGGGGTATGTGTATGCGTCCATGTGAGTGAGTGTCTAGAAAAATATACATGCTGAAAACAATAAGAAATACCTTTGTAATTATGTAGACAAGGTTTTTTGGGTAAATGTGATAGCTTTTATTAGACCAGCTAAGTAATCTAAACTACTTAGTTTTCCAACTATTTAGCTGGTTTAATAAAAGATACCACATTTACCCAAAAAACCTTGTCTGCCTATGTCTTTAGACCAACACAGCTACAACCAACACTCCCAACACTCTGTAATTATGTTGAAGTCTTAACTGTAGTGGATTAACTTAATCTAGTTTGCTTCCTTTGATATGCCAAATACATTTCTTCAATATTTTGAAAAATTCAAATAAAAAGTAGGGACTGCAGACATTTTGTTGGTAAATCATTATCCAGAAGACATTAAAGGTTCTGTAAAACCAATGAATAGTTATGACTCCCACACTACACCCTAACTGAAGTTCCAATAAACTCTTTAATCTGCCTTTCTTGTATGGGAATAGGAAATTTAAATGTCAGAAGATGCAGAGTTATATTACCTTTGGGACTAAACCTTAATTTTGTCCTGGTTGATCATTGACCTGTGAAACCACGAGGAGAAAAATAGTAAATAAACCCTGAGGCATCTTTGCACATCACTTTAATCTGGAGCCAAAAAGTATTAATATACATCACCCATAACTGCATGATCATTGCATGACATTGCAATGGGACAGTGTTACAACTCTTTGGATGTCTTACCTGTCCATTTCTGTACCTGAACATCTTCAGGTTTCTTTTAGGCTTAACCTTTATTTTTGTAATTTCTTGTTTTATAATGCTTGTGTTTGATATAATTGGAACAACACTGTAATGGTGTTAGTTCAAATTATTTTTATCTGGTATTACTGTTGAGAAATTCCATTTAATATAGGTTTGAGGAATTATGTTCATGGAAATAACGTTTTAAAGTTATTTTGGACTTGCATATATAGGAGAACTTAATCTGTTTAACTGGCTTATGTTTTTACTGATTTTTTTATTTCGGTTTTCTACCTCACAATCAGACACTGAGTTGCTGAGGTCAGAGCATCTCCTCCTTTGTGCCATGGCCTTTCAGGAAGGGTAGTAAGAGTTTGTCTTTTACAAACAAATGGAACAAATAGCCTGTGTTTTTACTTCAGTTTATGTTACAGACAGCATTTCTGAATCACTTAACAACATATTACCTGAATGTATGCCCTCTGCATTGCTAAGCATACTGTCAGTACTTAATTAATCATCAATAATGATGGATTATTCAGAGTCAAGTATACAGTCACTAGTTTGCAGATTTACATCTGCTCTCTGGTGTATAAGACAGGTCATTTAGTAGCAAACCATTAGTCCAGCAAGCCCAATCACAAGTAATTAGTGAGCAATACTTGATTGTTAAGAAGGAAGATGGAGGCAGGGAAATATGCAGTCCCCCTCACTCTTCCTCCCTCCTTCACTGTTCTTAAAACAGCTTCTAGCGAACACAGAGTAAAGGTGCTCTTTGTAGACTAACTTCAGACTTACCATGTTTTCTTTATATTTACTATTTACTAGAGCATTAGCTTAAGGTGACTGATGTTAATAGAGTCTGGCTTCAGGTTGGAATGCTTATATCACAATTACCTTAATTTTGTTTTGTTTTCTGTATTTAAATATTGTTAATGGCAGTTATATTATCCATTTCCTTTATTTAAAAAATCACGTAGTTTGAATTAATTATTTTCACTATACCTTGTCATCACATCTTATCCCTAGGATATACCACAACCATCACCGTGTAATTTGGGGAATTTCATTGTATATTAACAACTTTACATATTATTCCTTTTTCCCAACACACCTGTGTTGTTCCTTCAGATTATATGAGCAGAAGTCTCATCAGGATTGCTTATGCCTTTCATGTTTTCATCAGAAATGAATTGATGACACTTGCAAATGGTTGCCTTAAAAAAATGTAACCAAACATGTTCAACTCAGGTATTCAGCTCAGGTTCTTTTCCTGAATTTCCTTAAAATTGATTTGTGCTCCCATATCCACATTGGTGCTCTGACAGTTTGAGTGAAAAGCTGATGTGATTTATTTTAGGATTTTGGAAATTCCTTCATTCTTACATTTTGTACCTTATCCTAATTCATTCTCTGATAATTTATCTTATTAGGTAGGTCCAATTTATATCTAACAAATGTAATCTGTAGCAATGTACTGTGTGCACATGTTCCGAAGATGTAAAAATTCAGATCCACTATTCTGGTCCTGTCTGAATGTATTGCTTATCCGTGACTTTCTGTTTTGTTTTAGCTCTTTTACAAAGCTTCCTCATCTCGCAGGAACAGAGCAAAATTTCCATCTTGCCAAGCAAATTCAAGACCAATGGAAATCATTTGGGCTGGATTCAGCAGAGCTGGTTCATTATGATGTACTCCTTTCCTACCCAAATGAAACAAAGCCCAATTACATCTCAATTATTGATGACCTGGGGAATGAGGTGATCTAACTATGATTATATATCGTTAACTCTTTGAAGAGAAAGGGCCCATCGGTATTCACACCACTATCTTGTTTCACAATCAGAGAATCACCTGCCGGTGGATGATGTCAGCACGTGTTGTAAACTACTCCTTACAAATGATTTTGCAGTTGGGCACCAGTGCAGAGAGACTCTCATATCTGTTTTTTCAGTGTTTCCTCTGCTGCATCCAAAAAGAGAAGGGGAAATCTGCCTGAAATGAAGTCATAGGGAACAAGACTTGGGTGCAGAGAGAGGCATGGGGAGTGGATTGGAACAAAGAGCATACAATGTATTGAAGACTATGGCTGGGGTCATGGGGGGAGGAGCACTGGCTGCATAAGGAGACTGGAAAATGAGCTGGAAGCAACTAGCTGATGGGTAAGGCACTGAAATGCAACAAGGACTTAGGGAGACAGGAACTGGAAACTAGTGGAACAGGAGAAGGGGCTGGTGTCAGAGAGGCCAAATTTGCCTAAAACCAGAGGGCATGTATACATGGGCCTAGGAAGAGGTTAGTACGGAGGGAGATGGGCGGCAGGGGTCAAGTTTGAAGGAAATGGGCAGAGGAGTCTTTGCTTGCTCTCCCTTCCTGAACCTGACACAGAACCAAGATCAGCGAGTCCTCTGCTAGCAGAAAATATCTATGAAACTCACTGGCAATTATTCCACCCTCCTCAGCCCCAGCCCAGTGCTAATCTACACAGAAGATGACCACCTAGCTTTGCTGTCACACACTTCACTGTGGGTGTGCCTACAGTGCCCCCATAGTGCAGGTGTCACTGCACCGTCATTCAATTATACCTGCTTTAGGAAATACTAAATGACAGTGCAGTAACAGCCACTACTGAACTGTCCCAGCGGTGCATGGTTATTTTTAGCAGCTATGTTGATGTAACGATGTACTACAGCAAGGTAGCTAGCCACTACGGCGATGTAGCATCAGCATCACAGTTTGTGCCCGTTGATGCTACATTGCCATAGCACTGAGCTACATTGCCATAGTACATCACTATGGCTATGTGTAGACGTGCCCTGAGTGTAACAGTCTGCGATTTTCACTTAGGTATAAAGGTTCCAACCCTAGTGATGACCCCTGGGTGTCAGGATGTTGATCCCATGATGGTCTGGGTTTTTTTTTCAGTGCAGAGATCTTAAAGTGCCATGAATACACATTATTACAAAGCACAAACAAAAGAGGCTGAATTAGATTAGCATATGCAACCATAATCTTAGCATTCCTGATCTCTTACATAATTGACCTCTCAGTCTTTATATGTATGTACATGAGAGAGAGAGTATGTCTAAACATACACACATGCCAGTTTTCTACCAGATGGAACCTATAAAAAAAAATAAAGCAGACATTCCTGAAAAATTGATGCATGATTTTTGTCCTTCCCTTTCTAAAAAATACTAGTACAATAAAACTTTGCAGAACCGATTGTGTTATCAGTTATTCTTTTCATTTTACAAAACCCTGCTGAAAAATCCAGTCCTTCCACCTCTAGTTGTACTGAACAGTATTTCATTATGTGAAAAGTTGTTCCTAACATCTGATGAAGTAGGTTGTTGCTTACAAAAGCTCAAGCCTCTCTGAACCAATTAGTCTCTAAGGAGTTAGTCTTTAAGGTGTTATACTGCTCTACCTTTAGCTTGACTTCAGAGTAGCACGGCTAACTACCTCTGTGATTACATGAATAAGAGTAGGATTGGACCTAAGAATATATAAACAACATGGATGGGAATTAAAACAATAGTACTTAAATACTACTGAACAGGTAAAGGAAAAAGTTGGAAAAACCACAAAATTACCAAAAAGTTCCTGGACTGATATGTACGAACAAAATGCATAAAATTATCACCACTAAGCCTCTATTTTAGGTCAAGTAATGACTCATAAACTTGACATGAAAAATAATATTTATCCATTCATATTAACCTATACTCATTTTCTTATGATTTTTAACTGCAAGAATTTACAATTTTTGAAGTTATATATGAGCTTTTGTGTATTAAATGTAAAATACTGGTATTTGTTTAAAATAGTACACAGTTTTAAATAACTAAACTTACTGTGCAAACTTCAGCTAGGTTGCCCAAGGAAGAATTTGACCAAAATTTCTACTAAATTAACTTGTGCTCGATTTGGATTTTTGGTAGATTTTCAATACATCGTTGTTTGAGCCACCCCCTCAGGGATATGAAAACGTTACTGGTATGCTGCCACCATACAATGCTTTTTCAGCACAAGGAACACCAGAGGTAAGAAAACAATTCCTTACAGAGCCTTGACAGATGAAATTAAGTTCTGGAAAATTGTTACTATGCTGTATGACTCTTGACTTGAAACATTTTTGCAGTGATGTCAGTTAGGTGGGGTAAATATTGAATTCTCATATGATATAGAGACACTGATAGCAAGAGCATACACAAGATGCTTTCCT